ACTTTGATTGAATGCGTATGCCCAGAGAAATAATAAAGCTCTTCTGTCCCAAGGACATTTGCCAATATTGTATGCTGGGCTTTTGTTGGGGAATGTCAAGGGGAGAGAGAACAGAAGTCAAGACTCCAAGGTGAGGACTCTTATTGGCTATCCTTCCTGTATTAAGCTGGAACTCCAAAGAGCCATTCTCTTAGGAGAAGGATGAATCAGAATTAAACTGGTTCCCCAACCTTCATCCAGGTGACTGTAAAGAAAAGAAAAATAAATAAATAAAATGGTCACCACACACTGCCCCCACAGAGATTGCACCACAGAAATGTGTAGTTGAAGTGGTCCTTGAACTTGATTTGAGGTAATCCTTGATTGATAGTTCCTCTGATAAATGAAGGGAAGGTTGACACTAGGCCTTAGGGAGCCCCCACAAATAATTTTTCAAAAGCATTAAACCAGTACAGAGTTCAAGCTAACACTGGGAAACATGGCAACATTAGTGAGAACCAGCAAAGGGAAAAAAATAGCACCGTATCTGCCCAGACTTCAAATACTGGAATTATAAAACACATTTAAAAATAACTTTAATTATACCATATTTAGATAAATGAATGACAAGCTTGAAAATATTTGGGGGGAATGGGAAACTGAAAAATTAGAAGATTTGAAACAAGAACCAAACTGAACTTCTAGAACTTCATTGTGCAATATGATCATCAGTTAGCCACATGTAGCTATTTAAATGTAAATAAATTGAAATTAAATATTCCATTTGTCAATAGCACTACTTACATGTGGCTAGTGGCTATTTTATTAACACACATACAAATGTTTTTATCATTGATCATTGAAGGTAGTTAAATGGGGCAGCACTATAATAGTACTTTAATTGCCAAAATTTAAAACTCTATATACATGTCTGGCATCAAGTTAGGTATAGAGAAGAGAGAATTTAGGAATTAGCAGATAGTTCAGAAAAACGTTATCTAGAATGAAGCAGAAAGACCTAAAAAGAAGAGAAGGATTAAAAGATTAAAGGTAAGAGACACCGCAGGTATGTTGAGACTGTCTAACTGTATTTAATGCAGTCCTAGAAGGAGAAGAGAAAGAGAATGGAAGAGGAAATATTTAAAGAGATGTTGGCTATACATTTTAAGAATTGTATGAAGATACTATGTACAGATTCAAGAGACTCAGATAATTCCAAGCAGATAAAAATAGGTTCATTCCTAGACATATCACAATGAATCTGCAGAAAACCACAGAAAAAGAGAAGAAATGAATGAAGATACTATGTACAGATTCAAGAGACTCAGATAATTCCAAGCAGATAAAAATAAGTTCATTCCTAGACATATCACAATGAATCTGCAGAAAACCACAGAAAAAGAGAAGAAATGAACACTTGCCCTGACAAAAGTAACTTAGAAAAATTGGAACCAGCCCAAATGTCCATCATCAGATGAGTGGATAAGGAAAATGTGGTATATCTACACAATGGAATACTACTGTGCTATGAAAAAAAGAATGAAATACTGCCATTCACAGCAACATGGATGGACTTAGAAAAAATTATTAAGTGAAGTAAGCCAGGCACAGAAAGAGAAATACCATATGTCCTCACTTATTTGTGGGAGCTGTAAATAAATAAATAAATAGCAGGAGGTGGGGGGAGAGCACAGCAATCACTGTTCCTTGATCTTGTTAAGACAAGTGAACAGATATGTTGAGGGGGAGGGGGGAGAGAGAGGGGGGAAAGGAGGAATTGATAAAGGGACACAAAAATCAACTATATTGTATGTTGATAAAATAAAATAAAAGAAATGGAAAACCAAAAAGTCTACTAAGTTAGTCAGAAATCTAATTAGTCAGATGATAGAAAACCCTAAGTCCCGATGGCTTTGCTAGTGAGTTCTACCAAACATTTAAGCAGAAAGTTATTCTAAACATAGACTCTTCTAGAGATTACAGAAAGAGGAAATAGTTTGTGAAGTTTGTGGAAATAAGAAGAAATAGTTTGCTCATTTTGTGAAGTTTGCATAGCCTTGTTAGCAAAACCTAACAAGGACAAAGTATTCTGGTAAATGTCTTAACTATTGGCTCTTAGAAGGTGAAGGGGTGGGATATATGATAGTACTTCAAAAAGTTTGTGGAAAAATAGGATTAAAATATAATGCTAATCTTTACATAAACTTTTTGAAGACCCCTTCTATATTAAATATAAAGAAATTTTATACAGTGATGCATCACTTAAAGACAGGGATACGTTCTGAGAAATGTGTGTGTCCTTAGGCAATTTTGTTGTGCAAATATCATAGAGTATGCTTAAACCTAGATATGATAGCCTTACATACACGTAGGCCATATGGTATAGCCATTATAATCTTATGGGGTCACCGACATATATGTGTTCCATTGTTAACCGAAGCATCATCATGGGGTGCATGACTGTATATAAAGTTTACTGGTATAAAGGACATGTAGCACATACAGATAATAGCATAATAGTCAATACTCTTTGTCGCCAAAAAAAAAAACAAACTATTGTAAATTCTTTATGGCTAGTTTGTTTTCACAGAATACTTTCATTAATTTTTGCTGAACTCTTGTAGCCAATTTATGGTTATCATTCAGTCATGATATGATAAGTGGAATTGCATCCTAATCGGCTCTTTCCCCAATAAATTTATTGTTATTAAATCTCATAGTAACATACTATTAAAACTATTTCTCACCCTTATGCAGAATATATTTATAAAATTGAAACCTCTTTCAGCTTTACCACCAACTCAACCTTGACATGTAGCAATTGCTGATTTTTGTGATGTAAATAATGTCAATATAGCCGATTTCAAACTATCAACATGACATCCCTAAACTCATAATTATATGAATTATATTGAGACAACAGGTAATATTCAGTATTCATCACTTCCTGATTATTTAACTATATTATTATGTATTCTCTTGGGATTATTTATATGGGAGTTAATATCTATTAGTTAAACTTAAAAACGTTTTATGTGCTTTTTTGAAAAAATTGATCCTTTTGCATTATCAGAGGGGGCCACCACATTAATTGACCTGTATATGTACTTTATTAAAAATTTTTAAGAGATAGTAACTGGTTGAAGGAGGCAAGCGTTTGGTACAATATACAGAAACATCACTTGATACTCAGGTGGAATACAAGGAAATTATTAGATGATGCACCCTACTGAGTACCAGCTGCCACCCAGAACCTCACATGACAAATACACTTGATGACTGCCATACAGGCTAGTTATGGATAAGTTCTGATACAGGAAAGCCAAAGGCCACCAGGTACTGTAGACAAGGGACCCAGGCAGTAGGGGAGTGTGGCAGGAGAATTGCTGCACCTATACCCACCTCCCACACTGTCCTTCCACTGCACAATTCAAGTGCCCTTGATGAAGAAGTTTTCTTTTTCTATAAAAGATCTAAAATTCCTTAAAATTAAAAAAAAAAAAATTAGTCCCCTTAATAAAATTATTAGTTTTAATTA